GCCTTCAGCTGTTCATCGGCTGCAATCTGTCGTAATTCCTTATCCAAGGTTTCGAGGATCATCTGAACACCTAGCTCCGTGGGACGCTGGATGTCAGGAGACAGCTTGATAAGGCTCATCCTAGTACGCAATGAATCGCTTCGTTTCTCAATATTCTTCACTAGTGTACATAGAGCTCTCATCGCCTCAGACGGGGCTGTACTGGGAAGATTCAGAGCTGCTGCACGCAATCTGGCTAGCTTCCACCTGCGAATACACTCCAAAGCATCTCTAGCTGATTGGGCCGGATCCAGGTTGCGCATGTATCGCAACAGGCTTGCAACTTCCTCCTGGCCTCCAGGTTGGACTTGATGCACCAACTCTTCTAACAATGACAGTGATGTGATCTTGTTTTCTGCATCTTCAACTGCGCTGTCTTTCACCTCTGCTGGAAGAATCCGCATCAAGCTAACCACCAATCGAGCCTCGTATGTCTCAAAACATGCTTCAACCTTAGGGGCTTCAGCAATGGGATCTCCAGACATCCGGCTCTCGTGTCTCTGGTGCGCCAAGTGAAATCGGTCCTCAACGAAAGTTGCAAACTCTGGTGCAACAGTGGTGCAAACTGCCAAGATTTGTCGTTTCCATGTTGTGAAACCCAATCCCAGCTCCCAGGGTTCCCCTGGTTCTTGTTGATACTTTGGGAGATCCGTCAGACATTTCCACTTACCGTTCGGAATCTCCGGCGCCGACTTTCGAATCCCCGGCCTTGCGCCAGGGCTCGGCGACCTTGCTGATGATGGTCTCCTCCTGGATCCGAGACCGGGTGGAGGAGCAGTGAGGCCCCACGGGTTAAGAGGATCAACCTCCGTTCTTCCACGTCCCCACGTGCCCCAGTTTTCTGGCTCGTCTCCGGTTTGATCCCACCAAGCGGCCTCAGCATCGTGACCTCCAAAGCTGGGTGCTTGATCAGTGTTAGGCGTCAACTCATAATGCAGCGGCTCGCGATTGCTCTGTGCGGGCATCGGCTGCAACATGGGTGACTGCGTATCCCGATGAGAGTCCTTCGAGGCTGTATCCCCTAGCTGAACTTCCTCCAACTTGTCAGGGCCTTCCTCGATAGCGCTCACTCTCTCANNCGGTAACACAGCAGCTCGAAGTTGCTCCAAACTGTTATGTAGGCCCTCACCTTGCTCACGTTGCTGCGTAGTCAACACAGCAAGCTCCCGATCAACCTTTTCAGCCAACGCTTGCACCGCTCGTGCCAGCGTAGCTTGATCCCCGGGTTCGCCCTTTAAGGGTGCATAGATCTCACGCGCTTGGACATCCAGTCGGCGCTGATGCTCTTGCATGCTCATTTGAGTATGCTTCACAGACTCATCCAGCTCAGCAACTCTACCAGCTAAGGCTTCCACCTTCGCCAGCAAGCTCACCTCTCTCTGCAAGGACTCGTCTAACTTCATCTTGACCTGCTGCTCCTCTGTGCCTCGTTCTTCTAGGTAGCGCCTAAGGTCATGTTTGATCGCTTCTATTTGTGTGTGCGCATCACGACGATCAGATTCCCGGCCTTCCACCAGGGATTGCACTGCAACTTGTTGTCTAACCACCGTTTCCCGAAGCTGATCCAGGGT